GCGCGGAGCTCGGGAGCAGCTTGCAGAACTCGCCGCCGCGCCGCGCTCGTCCCCCGCGCTCCTCGGCGCACACAGGGAGTCGGCCCTCGGCCATGGGTGAGTCGCGGCGCCCGCCGTGGGGTCGCTCCCCGGGAGGCGTCGGCCTCCGGGCTTTGCGGCGGACCGCAGTGTTCGCGGGCTGGTGCAGCCCTCCCCGCCTCAGCTTCGCGCCCGCCGGCCGGGGCGGTCTCTAGACTTTTCCGAGGGGCGAGCTGGTGGGGACGGGGTGGCGTCGGGGGCCGTTTACGAGGGGCCAGGAATTGGGGGCAGCGCCGGACTGCTATCCGCGCCGGGCGCTGGGACCCTGGTCGGGGCGCGGGGGTGTCGCCGCGCTTGGGGTAGCGTTTGTGTAGTAAAGAAAGACGGGGAGAGACGCTGGGGTTGGGAGTAGGGAGAGGGGTACGGGGAGATCGCTTTTCTGAGGGTCCTTTGGGGAGCAAGTGGACATGGGGCAGAACAGGAAACTTGGTGAAACTTCCAGCTCGTGCAGTTGGAGTCGGAGAAGGGGCTGGGGCGCGTGAGATGGGGTTCAGGTGCAGCCCCGGTCTCCGCCCAGGTCCGCCGGGGCCAGAGGTTTGCAGAGTCTCCCCAAGGCGCGCCGGGCGGACGGGCCTCAGGTCGCGGCGCCGTGGAGTTGGGCAAGCTGAGCGCTGTTGAAGTTTCTAGAGCGTCTGCTTCTTTGCACGGGAGCGCGGCCGCTCGGAACCGTCCCAGGAATGTGGTTGGGTGGGGTGGAGGGTGTGAGATAGTCCTTCAAGACGGAGCCCCGGGAGGTGGGGCCCCAGGGGAAGAGTGGGCGAGCTGGGGAGGCCCGGGAGAGAGACCGCGCGTCCTTGCAGCTTGGGGTGCTGCTTCCCGGGGGACCGGCCAGCGCTGCCTTCGCGGGCACTGAGTAGCGAGCCAGCAGCGGCCGTGTTGCTATTCAGGGCCAGTGCACGCCTTTCTGCAGGCCAAGTCCGTCCCGCCCCTCCCCCGCGCCTCCCCGCGTCCTTTGTTGCGAGGGATTTCTTCCAGAGTGCAGGAGGCCTGTGGGATTGACGTGCCGGTTGAAATCCCCCAATTCCCACAGGCTCAAGGGTTAGGGGATGCCTTGACTGCTAATCGGTGAAGTTTATAGACACAGGCCAACTCGGAGGAAAGAAAAGAGAAGGCTGAGGACATTTTTGCCTATGAATGTTAGCTGTGATGGAGACATTCAGGGTCTCTTCGAGTTTGACCCCACTGAGGAGTCTTGGAAAGACCCATTTTTAGGGCTTTTGAATAAAACTGTTGTAACTAATCTCCAGGATGGGCTGCCTTCAAATGTTTTCGAAAAGAGCAGGAATATTTTCAAGCTAATCAGGCAAGATAAAACACTTTCCCAAGAGAGGCAGATTGTATTTCAGGCTCCGTTGGGCGTATAAACTCTTGTTAGAGTAACGTATGGGGGGTGTTTGTGGGGGGAAGTGATTATAAATGGAAGCTAAAATATTGAGTTGATGTAGAATATTTGTTACTCTATTGAAAGCATTACCCGCTATTAGAAATGATGACATGGTTTACTTTACACTTGAGCAGACTGCAGATGCTAAGAAGATACCATAATTTTGAAGTTTATCATGCCTGCAACTTGGATTTTCGAACTATAATGAAAATAGCTACCTCTGTATTTTACTTGGCTGTTCTTGACTCCAAGTGATAGAAAGTGATGGAGGCATCCTGGTGATTCCAAGGGGGTGAGCTTAATACCTGAGCTCTTAGGCTCCTCTGGGCTTGTGGGTTCTTGTTGTGGGCTCTCTTTCTGATTTGCAAAGCTACAGATCCCTTAACCTTTGTCTCTTTTTCTGTCAGGAGTGGATTATCTCCCTGTTTCCTAGTGTAACTGAGATCAACAAAAACTTGTGTAGGAATCCAGGACAAAGTAGATACAGGGAGCCAGGAAGAGCCCAGAGTTGAGGCTAGTAAGGAAGAAGCAAGTAGTGTTGGAGAGGGAGAGCCAGAAGCCAGAACAGGGACACAGGAGGGGTCACAGAGCAGATGGGTCAAGTGAGAGCGAGATGGAAGGAAATCTGAGCAGCAACTGGAGCGCAAACACTTGGTCACTTACGGTCATTTTCCTCCTTTTTAACTTACCCTCAGAAAACACAGAACTTCATTACTTAGAACTGCTTTTATTTAGTGTTAGCGAGGAGTGGAGTTTTTTTTGTGGGAGTCCAAGTTGCCAGAACGAGGGAGCACAGTGGAAACAGTGCAGAGAATATGTGACATGCCAGCAAGCTGAATTCACTTTTTCTGGCATCGTGACAACTGAGCTTTATTGTTTAAAGAAAGAAGAGGGTGCTATGGCAGGTGACTATAGCAATCATTTCTTGTCTGTCTCAGAAGAAGAAATACATGCTCTAGCATGGTAGAGGAATGAGGGTAATTGGTTAATCAAATATACTGAATAATTTATAGTTATCATATCTATAATGCACAAGGCTAAAATAAAGTTATTTGCAAAGTAGGCAAATTGAGATTTTGGCATCTCTGGCTTCCTCTATTTCTTTTCTTTCCTTAGTGATGCCTTCAGCTTGTCTAGGTATTTAACAGGGATGTTCCTCTGCCCACAAATGTTGCCATCTAGAAAGATCATGATGAAATATTTCCTACCGAAAAATGCATGACGAATTCTTTTTTAAGTATGTTGATATTTGAACATCAAGATTAACTTTAATAGCATGCCATTTTTCTACTTATCAAAGTTCAAGTTCCAGTGCTGAGGTAGGTCGGGAATAGTTTTCATTTCTCCCCTAATCACATCACTTTTCTACTTGACAGTGGTGGATGCTTTATGAATATACACTGTGAGACCATTAGCCTTTGTTTATTTTAAAAATGAGCCTGAATGCTCTTTTTAGTTCCATAGATATTTTATGGAAAGTTTCATGGAGGGTGTGATAATGAACATGATTTGGAGGAATGCAAAGGATTTGGGAAGGAAAGAGTTGTTTTAGTTAGAATAATGACCCTCTCAAAGTAGGAAGGTGAATTTAGGAGCGCAATCAAACAGGATGGGATTTGATTCTGGGGAGACTTCAAAAGCAGCCAGAGGAAATTAGAATTTACACAATAGGAAATGGAACATCATGGAAGGTTTTTGAGTAGGGAAGAATTGCAATAAAATTCGTCTTTGAGGAGGATTAATTAAGTGGCATTTAAAAAACAGAAAATTGGGGGCCCTCCCTGGTGGCACAGTGGGCTAAAGCACAGCACTAAGAAGCTAAAGCCACTTCCGCATGAGTTC